TTCTCTATTTCCTACTATTCATTACTTGGGAATTTTATTCATTTTCGGTTTCTTGTTCGAGAGGAAGTGATCGAGTAGTACTAGATATGATGTACCTTGATTTTGATGCTGCTTGTTGGATTCTGATGCCTGTTGAAGCTTGAAGTATACTTGTGTTATGGCAGTATCTCTTTGCTACTCTCTTTTCAAATATTTAAACGAGTTCTGTCATCTGATTTTTTTTTGTGAGGGTTTCAGTTCAAGTGGTGGATGGCCTCGTGTTTAATCAATATGACATATTTTCATTTATTTCCATGTGAGTGCACCTTTTGTCTTGCATTTGAGTTACTAAGCCCCTGTTGAGCTCCATTTTTCTTGTAGTTCATTTTTTCGGAACTTATTATCAACAACAAACTCTCATATACAATAATTTCACATGTAAAAATTCAAAATATTTTCCTACTTTTGAACTACACTTTTTTCAAAAAAATCACCACTTCAAAACATGTTTTCACCAAAAAATTGAGGCAACCAGGATCGATATTACATTGTGACTTTAAAGTACAAAAGTTGTGTGTGAGAATTTGAAATGTTTAGTGCCTGTTACATTTCATGAATTCATTAGGAAAAACGCATTTGGTTGCCTTATTTGCCTACCTGTTTGATGCAAATTAGATGGCAAATGTGAGTATTAACTACTGAGGGCTTATTTGGTAGGGTTTTTATTGCTCTTTCCTGTAGAAGAGCTTTTGAAAGTCTCATTGGGAAAATTGGTGCAAATGGACCCTATTCTATGGGATTGCTATGCAAATGAACTCAAACCAACAAACCTTGGCGCAAATATTCCCAACCTGTCATTTAATAGGCACAATTGATCCTTTTGATCATTACTGTCAAACGGAAAATATAACGTGTGATCGGTTCTCATTTTGTTCCTCGTATATTATGAGAAGTATGATTGTTGCAAATGGGGATCAATCGGATAATTTCATATCAATCAATTTCTCATAGAGCATTTCTAATAAAATCATGGATTGCTTAAAAATTTGTACAATATTTATGCATAACAGAATGTTTCTAAAATTCTCTCCGACACTAGTTGAAGGTTAGGGACAGTTCCCGAAAACCCAAGATGTGAGGGGACGTTTGTGCCAGTTCCCTTATTCGATTTTGATGGAATGAGTGGTAAGATTCAATAGAAAGATGAAGATGGGTGTTCTAATTTTATTAAATTCAGGACGAGCCTCCAAATGTAACTTCGCTCATAGTTAAGTGACCTGCAGAGTGTTTTACCGGTCCCAAGAATCCAAGCTCTATGTATTAGTCATTTTTAGTGCATGATAGTGTGTGTAACTTTTCATTTCTCTTCAAAATTAAGCGTTTATTCACTTTACTTTTAAAATCAAAACATATAAAATTCACTTGCTTGAATTCTATATAATCCCTGTTTGACACCCATTTTGTTTGAAAATAATTTTTGGAATAGTAATTGATGGAAGATTGTGTAGTTAAAAAATAAGGAGAATTTTTGGGTTTATGACACTGTAATAAAATAATTATCTTAATGGTTGAAATGAAGAAAGAGAAATAGAACGAGAAAAAAAATGGGTGTGAAACAGGGGGCATAATTCATAATATGTAATAACTTCATTTAAGAACAAAACTAATGGTGGGGGGCAGAAAACCCGTTTACAGATATCAACTTGGCAACACGAGGACAAAAAAACCGGCTGCCTGTTTCCAAAGGCTACATTTCTGATTTTCGATGGTTCTCTCCAAAAAATGTGAACAAAAGAGTTAGAAATGTTGCGTTTTTGACTTTTTTCCCAAAAAATCCTATACTAAGTTTTCCCACATTTTACCATACATTATTTTAGATTCCCCCAACTTTTTCCCTTTGGGTTTTTACCCCAACATTAGTTTTTTTGCTCTAAAGATAATGCAACTTATAAAACATTATTAAGGAAATAAATTGCAGACCAATTCTGCAATTATGTTTTCTTCGGAGACACCCTTTGGACTTTATAGTATTATTAGAAACACATTTTCACATCAATTTTGCTACATTTATGTTATGAAGACGTTAAGTTTAATATTGTTTGATGTGGCAACAATCATGATAATTGATTTTAAACGTTCAAATCGCTGGCCAGATTTCTTATACATAGAAGATGTCATCCACAATATACAAGTAGATTATTATTATTCACATGGGTTTGCAATTATGTTTTCTTCAGAGATACCCTTTGAACTTCATAATATTATTAGAAATACATTTTCACATTTCAAGAATATTTCTAATTTTTAGTATCTCTTACTCTCTTATCACTTTTTTCATATACTAGTCTATTGCCCGTGCAATGCACGGGCAACATGATTTCAAAGGTAATGTTAGCGTTCCAAAAAAAAGTATTTCCCTCCATTTTTTGGTAGCTTCTTCTTAAGCATTGAATGCATAATATAACATTTTTTCACACTTAAAAGTCAAAGATTTGGACGAGCTCTACTAAAATCATGCAATACGAAAACAACAAAATCTCTTTCCCATAATCCATTGTCTTCGATTTTATTCGTCTTTGACATTAAGCAGAGAGTGCGAATATAATTTGTAGCTTGGCAATCAAGAGTGTCCAGATATTACATAACATATTTTCTCATGTAGATTTCAAGCTAACACTATTGGTTCTTTCTACATGAAGACCGAATCAAGATGCCTTAGAAATAGAGCATAATAACTTTACCATATACTGATATATACGAGAAAACGCACCAGACTAAGAAATTGATAGGCAATTAAAAGAAGATAAAAATAATGTTGCATTTAAGCTGTAAGTAATGTATTTAGGTTTACATTGCTAATGTTTCCAATAAAATTATACAAGAATAAATTCTCTCAGTCATGTATATTTTTAGCCCTTCCACAATGGTTTCCTCAGAAGTTGGATCTTGAAAGACATCTTCATCATTCTTCACTTGAAAGCATA